ATTTACTTTGTTTTATAATTCTATTTATTCACTTCATATGAGTCTCTCTGTTTCTTGAAATCTCCTACAAATATCCTAGTCCATTTCCCTTCATTGCTTTTTCACCAGAGGTGGCATTGTTAGTTTATAACCAGCTGCCCAGTGAAACTTTTTAAAGACTATTCTCTTTGAAGCATCTGAATTATTCAAATAGAAGACACTGTCCCTTTTGCTATGTGTGTGGGGGGGGGATGGGGGGGTGCATGTAGCCATTCCTTTTCATGAAATGTCTTATTAAAAATGTATAAAAAGCCATAATATAATGAAACACCATGAGTGGGATCCAAACTTTGTGTTTAGCAAATTCAAGGGGTTTTCCATTAAGGAGGAATTTCAACAGAATGGTAAGCAAGTTTATACTGGATCTTCCTCCCCTTCCATTCATTTGTTTTTTTCTGAAAATCTGATTTACAGCATCTCCTATTCTTCCATAGCAGATTTTCAGAGTATACAAGTTCCATACAAAGTAGGGATGTAATTCTTCACATGGTTAGCTCTCCAAGACATCAATAAGTAATTTCAGCAGTTGTTGTCCCACTTCTCATCACAATGGTTTTCAAAGACTATTTGCAATTTCAGATTTGTTCTGTACAAAATTTGCTTGTTGTTTTGCACAGAAAACCTTTTATGCACAGGAAATAGCATTTCCTCCAAGAAAAATAATATTTCAATGAAGAGATATAGAGGGCTGTAAAGGAGCAGCCCTTTGATTGCCAGATTGGGGCCATGGCAACCATGTGCCATGATGCTGATCCAGCATTTTTCCAATGCAAATCAATCATGTGCAAATTTTACACTGAACAAATCCCCAAATCCCCAGTTACAGTATTTTCTGCAGACAAAACAGCACTTTATGTGCAAAATTAATATTTATGCATTGAAATATTATTCTTCATGAAGAAAATGCTGTTTTCTGTGCAAAACAACCATGTGCAAATTTTGCACAGAAGAAGTGACAAATTGTGAGATACTCAGCAGTCCAGGATTCGTCTCATCTAGGATATTCAATACTAAGAAAACATGTTGTTTGACATTTCTAATATTGTTTTTATCCCTAATAAGGGATAATTTTATTCAGGCAATGATTTTGCTTGCAGAAGGAAATTTGGGTGTTTATGCAGCAAAGCAATATAGTATAAAAAGTGTTAAACACTGAAGAGCTATGTTAAAAAAATAAACAGAAAAATAAAGCTAAATCCAGGTAAATCTTCAGGTGAAACTTTTTTCATTGTCCGAGTCTAGAGAAAACTATGACTTACCAACTTAAGTTGCAATCTTTTAACAAAAAGTACATTCCACTTAACATATTGCATGCTTCTAGAATAGTACTTATAGTATTATAAGATTGAACTGTAAGCATTCCACATTTACTTGGAATTAAATCCCACTAAAATCAATGAGCCTTTTAAAATCATCATCATCATCATCATCATCATCATCATCATCATCATCATACATAGGAATGGTATGTATTACAGTTGCATACATTTGTTGCAAGTAACTTTTTGTATTTGAATCCCATTGTGGGAGAAAGGCAGGATATAAATCCTGGAAATGAATAAATAAATAAATAATAAAATATTTGTTACCGGGGGCTCATAATCCAATCCAGTGGACATACAGTTGGCTCTCAGTATCCATGGATTCTGTATCTGCAACCATCCATGAAGTGAATTTTTTTTAATCCTAATAGCAAGCATTGTCATTTTAGATATGAAATACCATTTTACTTTGCCCCATATCTATAATGACATACACCATTATATATAATGGGACATGGTGTATAATGATATACACCATGGTATACAATGGGACTTGAGTATACGCAGACTTTGCTATCCACAAGGAGTCATGGATCCAAACCAAGGGCCTATGGCAATGATGGAGAACCTTTTATAGAGTGCCCAAACTCTGTGGTATTCTTGCACCAGGTGTCACTGGATGCCAAGGGTGGGATGTCTGGGGGCGGGACCACAGCTGAAGTCAGAGGTCCAAAACACTCTGCAGAAATAGTCCAGTCGGAGACTACTTTGACTGCCCTGGCTCAGTGCTAGGGGATCCTGGAATTGCTTATTGTGGCACAAGAGTTCTCTGGCTAAATATCTTACCAACCTACAAATCCCAGGATCCCATAGCATTCAGCCCTGGCAGTTATAGCAATGCCAAACTGGATTATTTCTGTAGTGCAGATGCAGCTCTAACGCCAGTGGATTTTGGATGTTGTGTAGTGCTTTGAATGTTAGACTATGGCTCAGGAGACCAGGGTTCAATTCCCTGCTCGTGCAAGAAACCCACTGGGTGACTTTGGGCAAGTCACACTCTCTCAGCCTTAGGGGATGTCAATGGCAACCCCCTCTGAACAAATCTTACTAAGAAAATCCTGTAATAGGTTTGCTGTGTTTGGGACACCAGTGTGGTGTAGTGGTTTGAGTGTTAGACTAGTCCTCTGGGAGATTAATTCTTCATGAAGGCACAGAAATCCACCGGGTAACCTTGAGCAAATCACACTCTCTTAGCCTCAGAAGGCAATGGCACCCCCCCCCCAACAAATCTACATTTGTACATCCTATATTTCAAGCTTCTGTCCAGGAGGAATCTCAAAATGTCCTCCCTTTTGATCATGACTAAGAAGCACGAATTTATATCCATATTAAGTGTTTGTAGCTTAAGTTTTATATTATGTGTTTTTTTAGTCCATCATTTTTTTTAAAACATACCAACATATTTATACACTGCATGTGTTCCTCATCTATTTTGCATTCAAAACTTCTTGTCTACTCTATACCTTCTTTACCCTCTCCTTTCCCCACCTTCTCATCTCTTTCCCCGCTCTCTTCTCTCTTTCTTTACCATCTCCTCCTCCATTTTCCTCTCCCCATTGATCTTCCCCCTTACTTCCTTTCTTCATTTTCCCTTCCCTTAACTATCCTCCTTAACCTCTCCTCCTATACACTCTCCCCCTCTCCGACCTTCTACACCTACTCTTACCTTCTTCACCTACCTCATTCTCTCTTACCCCTTCACCCCAATTAACCATCTATCCCTTATTTGGCTATTTACTTCTCGCAATCATACGTAAAACTCCACTATTCACTCTCCACTTCTTTGACTTTTTCCTCCTTAATATTTATCCATCCTTTTGTATCCCTTTTATTCACTTCTTTTACTTTCTTCTTTAACTACAGACTCTATTTTCCTCTTTTTACTTTCTTATCATTTTATTCTCCTTTAATATATCTATTCCTTTGTCCTTGCTACCTTTATCTAATCTTATATAACAGTAAATTTTGCCAGTTTAAAATCTTGATATCCTTTCTAATCGATCAAAATCACATTTTCCCATTGCTCCTTCATATATTTCAAAATTAATTGGCAGTCCTTTTCCATTTTGTCTATTGATCTGTTTCTTAATATTTGTGTCAATTTGTCCATTTCTATGATTTCCAATAATTTTATTATCCAGTCTTCTTTTACAGGAATATCTTTCAATTTCCACTTTTGCGCAAATAATATTCTTGCCACAGAGGTAATGTAAAATAGTATTTTTCCATGTTTCCTTTCTATTGCACCATCAAACATTCCTAGTAGAAAACTTTCATGCCTCATTTCTAATTTTATCTGTAATATTTCACAGATTTATAACTTTTCCCAATACTTTCTTGCCTCTTTACATGCCCACCAGCAATGTATAAATGTCCCTGCTGTGTCTCCACACTCCCAACATTTATTATTCCTATTTTTGTAAATCTTTGCCAATTTGTCTGGTGTTAAATACCATTGAAAGAACATTTTATACCAATTTTCTCTTATTGAGTGTGATGCCGTATATTTTATCCCTTTAGTTCACATTTTCCCCCATTGGTCGTGTTGTATATTATATCCTATATATCTTGCCAATTTAATCATCATGTCCTTTATTATTTCCTCCTCAATTTCTAATTCTAGTAGCTTTTTATACAACTTTTATCAGCAATTATTTGTATAATAATTTGTATACAAATTATTTTTTGGTTTGCTTTCTCTTTGTCATATGCTAGAAATGCATGTAACCCAAATTTAAATAATCCCCCCTCTAATTCTAGAAGCCTTCTGTCTTGCAAATTGATCCAATCTCTAATCCACATAAGGCTACATGCTTCTGAATATAATTGTAAATTTGGAACTGCTAAACCTCCTCTTTCTTGCACCTCTTGAAGTATTTTTAGTCTAATTCTTGGTCTTTCATCTTGCCAAATATATTTTGCAATGTCTCTATGCCAGATTTTATAGGGTTTGTTAGAATTTATAACTGGAATCATTTGAAACAGGAAAAGAAACTTTGGCAAAATAGACATTTTAATTGCTGCTATCCTCCCTAACCATGACAAATGGATATTTCTCCATCTTCCTAAATCTTTTTTTATCTCTTTCCATAGGTTCTGATAGTTGCTATCAAATAGTTCATTAGGTTTTTTTTGAAATCCATATTCCCAAATATTTTACTTTCTTTTTAATTTCTATTCCTGCAATACCTTGTAGTTCCTTTTCTTCATCTGTTTTTAGGTTCTTTGTTAATATCACTGATTTGTTTTTGTTAATTTTGCACCCTGTATAAACTCCAAATTTCCCTAACAGTGACATCAATATTTCTATATTTTGGTTTAGGTTTTGCAAATTAATCACCACATCATCAGCGTAAGCTCTTATAGGCGAATTGTTTAATTTTCACTCCTTCCAAATTCTCATTCTCCTTTATCTTTTTTATCTTCAATTCTATTATTATCAAAAACAATAGGGGTGACAGTGGGCCTTTGCAGACCAGCCCAAAGAGCCAGCCTGGAGGCTGAGTTGGGGTGGGGCAGCCACTTGTTGTCAGGATGGCCTTCCGGCACAACATTCAAACACACTGCACCAAAAAGGCACTGAAGAGCCATGCACCTAGTGGAGCAGTGGTTAAATGCCTGTACTGTAGCCACTCATCATAAACCACAAGGTTGCGAGTTCAATACTAGCCAGGGCTCAAGCTAAATTCAGGTCTGCATCCTTCTGAGGTCACTAAAATGAGTACCCAACTGT